TCAACTAAGCGCTAGGTCTTTGACTTTTCAACCGATATAGAAACTACTAATGTTGGTTCCTGATTAGTGTGAGCCCCCCCTCTAAACAATATCTGGACTCTCTTTAAAGTGGAAAGTCAAAAATTTTCTTCCCAAGAGAAAAACTAATCCTCACTTAAGTAAGGATTTCAATTGGCTACAATTGAAATCTAATTCCCCACCTGCCAGGTGAGGGTTGTTAGATTTTATGTCAGTTGCCTGCTCCTCCTCTCCTCCTCTCCTCCTCATCTCCTCCTCCTCTCCTCCTCCTCCTCCTCTCCTCTCCTCCTCCTCCTGCTCAACCGCGACCCTCGACGCACAGTGTTCTCTGTCGGACCTCAACCACGACCATCCACGCCCAGTGTTCCCTGCCGGACCTCAACCACGACCATCCCCGCCCAGTGTTCCCTGCCGGACCTCAACCACGACCATCCACGCCCAGTGTTCCCTGCCGGACTCAACCGCGAGTATCCCCGCCCAGTGTTCCCTGCCGGACCTCAACCACGACCATCCACGCCCAGTGTTCCCTGCCGGACCTCAACCGCGAGTATCCACGCCAAAAGATATGCCACATAGAGTGCCAGAAGATATGCCAGATAGAATGTTAGAAGATATGCCAGATAGAATGCCAGAAGGTATGCCAGATAGAATGCCAGATAGAATGTCAGCTAGAATGCCAGAAGATATGCCAGATAAAGTGCCAGAATGTTTGCCAGATAGAATGCCAGCAGATTTGCCAGATAATATGCCAGAAGATATGCTAGATAGAATGCCAGATGGAATAAGAAGATTTGCCAGATAATATGCCAGAAGATATGCCAGATAGAATGCCAGATGGAATGCCAGAAGATATGCCAGAACATATGCCAGAAGATATGCCAGAAGATATGCCAGAACAGAACTCTGCCAGAAGATATGCCAGAACATCTGCCAGAAGATATGCCAGGTAGAATGCCAGAAGATATGCCAGATAGAATGCCAGATCGAATGCCAGAAAATATGTCAGATAGAATGCCAGAAGATTTGCCAGTAACAAAAAATTTATTAATGTCATGATGGGGATCACACGAAGTAAAGTAATTAAAACTGTTTTTTGCGGATGAACTTGTGGTACTTGTAGTACTTGTAGTACTTGTAGTATTTGTAGTACCTGTAGTACTTGTAGTACTTGTAGTACTTGTAGTACCTGTAGTACTTGTAGTACCTGTAGTAGTTGCAGTACCTGTAGTAATTACAGGCTGTTTCTTTTCCAAAAAAAAAACTATCCCAATGTTTTTTGAGTTTCAGAATAATTTGGAAAAGTGCCACAATAGCGAACCTAGCTACTAATCAGAGACCGACACTATTGTCAGTCTGTTGGTCCATGATGCGGGCCTTAAACAGAAATAACAAAACATGAATTTGAAGTTGAGTGGTTACAGTCATACCTGTTGTTCTGTTGTGGGTGATATTGTCATTTTTGAGTGTAAATCCAATTCCCACAAAGTATTGACTATAGTTATAAGTATCATAAACCATAGTTATTTAACTTATAAACTAACTTAGCTATCTATGGGGCATCACATTGCACTGCTGTTATTTTTCTTCATCTCTGAATCCTAGTTATAAGTGGCTATGCGACCATAGGACCATAGGGCTTCTACCATGGTGTTGTTGCCACTGTTTCTAGAAATCACCTCAACTATCATTCATCTATATTAGAATTCCCATGGAAAAACCCGCATGACCATTTAACAGTTTGCTATTGAACATGACCATAGAAATAGTGGAATTTCCTATACAAAATGGTGATTTTCCATAGCAAAATGTAAACATTTAAAATATAAACATTTACCAGAGGGCAATGGATATATAAATGATATTTATAGTTGATTTACCTCTTCAAAATGGTGATATTCTATAGCTATGTTAGTTTAACAGACTGTACAGTTATGGTCATTTATCAGTTATAAGTACTTATAACCCCATTTATAGAATGTATAATCCCATTTATAACCAGATATAACTGGTAAATGGCCATAACTGTATGGCGGTAATATACCTAACGGTACATTCCCATTTTTTTTCCTCCGCATGCCATGTGCTGCTTGGGACCTTGACATCCTTGACATCAGGATTCGCGTGTGACGTGTCGCAACGACGCCTTCGAGCCCTGTCCTAAGAGTCAGGTGCTGAAAGACGAGGAGCGATGGGGAAACTCACATTTTGCTATGGAAAATATCCATTTTTAATAGGGAATATAGGGAAATCAACTATTTCTATGGGCTTAAAAATCATGAATCCCGTTCTCAACGTCAAGTGGATGGATGCTACTCTGGTAATCGAAGGGTTTGCTATGGTCTATGTCAATCTTGGATATTTTAATCCTTTAGTCTTTTGGTATCAATCGGATTATCTACGTTCACCAGCTTTAAAAGAAATGTAGGGAATAATCCGATTGGCCATGCGGTACAAATTGCCATGGTATGTTTGGTTATTCACATGTAAAAAATGGTACCCTCGGGTTATTTAACATAGCCATGGAAAATGGCCCATTTACAGATGGTTTACCTATTAAAAATTGTGATTTTCCATGGCTACGTTAAATAACCAGAGGGTATGTTTTATATCGATATTTTCAGTTGCTATTTTAAGTGACCAGAGGAAGAAAAGCAGATGGTGATTTATCAACATTACCATCCATTAGATCACCATCAATTAGATGGTTAAATTACCAGAGGGTAAACCCACTAATGCGCTCGTTTTGTTGCCCGATATAAATTGGGAGATATTCACCTACCCAGCTACAAATGGATGGGGAGGTGTATTTTTTACTGCGAAGGCAGTATTCAGACCCTGAAGCATCTGAAGCTGTCCATCAAAATGGTGGGTCTCACCAACGAGCATGGGAACATCATGCGGATATAGATGGAAAAACAATGAAAACCGGTTGGTGGTTTCAAACATGTTTATTTTCCCATATATATATATATGGGATAATAATCCCAAGTGACTCATATTTTTCAGAGGGGTAGGTCAACCACCAACCAGAAAAACATATGGAAAATACACATAGATAATTTTAATACAGGACAATAACAAGCATTTCTTTTGGACAAATGATTCCAACCTCACTGGCCAAGGTCACCATACCTAGGTTGGGGGAGTTATTCCCCAAAAAGTTTATTGCCACCAAGTTTATTGCTGATGTGTGAATTAGAGTAAGTTGCCCAGAAAGATGCATGGGTCTATTGTCATCAGTCTTTCAAAAAGGTTGCATGTTTTTGATTAGGGACAAAAATAGTTGCCTATCATACTTAACATAATTGCTAGTGATTGTATATGTTTGTTCCATAGTTGTATTGAAATATCATCACTAATTCTTTTTCTTCAGGTACTAACCAGTGCAGGTCACAACTATCACAGGTTAGCAAAAATATCAACTCAATGGGTTGAAGGGAAAATCGGAACACCGGAAACCAAATTTATTTTCCCATTAAACCTATGGAACAATGTCTTGAATGTATGGAAAATCTATGGGAAACCTATCCATTTCCCACATTTTCCCACTGGGACAAGCAGGAGAGGACCGCCGGAAAGTCCCAGAGGCCGAGGGAACAATCAGGACGTCCGCGAACTGAAGAAGTACTGGCAGGTGTGCGACCAGTCGCAGACAGGAGATGGTCGATGGCTGGCAGGAGAGGTACACCCTGAGAGCCAGGCTTGGGAATGATGCTGTGGGGCGTCTCCCTCCCATCCCAGTGATCAACAGGAAATCCTCAACCAGCGAAGCATCGCAAGAAGCGTGTACAGGTGGCTCCAAATGACACCAGCAATCAAGCATTGGATGAGAGATTATGTGTATGTTCTAGTTGATGTTCTAGTATTTTTTTGTTCGGAAACGCATAATAATATGTGTATATTTGTGTAATATATTACACTATATATATATATATCTATTTATATATATATATATATGTTCTCAAGTGTATCAAATGGCAGCCAGTCCATCTCATGGAATATGTCAACTCGTTGACCTCGACCCATCGACCCAAACTGTGCGCTGGAGGAGTTGTTGCCATACGCTTGTCAAGGGGAACGCTGCTCTGCGCAGGACGTGTCCTGCTAGATCCGGTTAGGATTGGTGGTGATAGTTAGGGCTTTACCATCGTTTACCCATCAAACACGGAGGGAAAATCGAGATTTAACTAGCAAACATGGGAAGTAGTTGATTCTTTTGATCTCCTGATGGCCAATTCGGTACATAACTAACTAGGTTTAGTGCTGGGTTTAGGGAAGGTACCTGTGTACCGTTTACAGTTGATGTTGTTTTTGAATCATGTAGATCAACGTTTGACTGTGGGGCACCAGCTGGGAAAATCATCGAAGTGACTAAGTGGAGAATTGTCCAGCAACATCCAGCAACCCATTTTTGATTACCAGAGTGTAGTCAAATTGTTGGCCACGGCCATTTGCTGCAGGCCCTTTGCGCCATGCTATTGCTAGGGCTGTTTTGTGAGGTTCCAATGATCAACCTGGGAAGGGGCTGGCAGGCCGCTTCTCTGATGATTCCTGAGGCTGATCACTATGGCACTATGGCACTATATGGACTTGGTAAACACTTGTTTTCTTGGTATCACTTTTTTTGGTGGTTAATGGTGGTTGATGATGGTTAATGGTGGTTAATGGTGGTTAATGATGGTTAAGAACCTGAAATTTCAAAGCTAATTATGAGGATATTGAGCAATGCTGCAAGTCTGATGCCACCGAATCCAGACTTTTGGTGGAGCAATTGGAGAGTGGCTGACGTGGACATACGGTATGCTTTAGTGGGCTGCCCCATAGGTGATGTTTGTTGGTTTCTAACCCCCATTGTATCATACACCCTGAGAGTTATAAAATGTTATAAACCAACTTAGCTATCTTTGGGGCATCACCTTGTCAGAGTATAGCCATGTAAGACTTGCCGCCACCGGCATCGGCCATTGACCATTCTGGCCACGTCAGGAGTGTTGTACCGACGCTGGCACCTGCTCCGAATTCCTCAACGGAACGGGTCTGAACGCAGCTCGGCAGTGAATGGGGTGATCGCTAAATTTTAGGGGAAATGATGTTGGCCCCGAAGTGTTATTTTTCCTGATTTTTCAGGGGCGTTGACAACAAAACTTCTGATATTTTATGATCATCTAAGCAGCTTCCATTGAGGTTGTACAGTCTGAGGCGAAAAGATCGTCTCTGATTCTACGTTACTCTTATGGGACAAAGTTATGGAAACTGTATAATCTGTGCAGAAAATAAAAACATCACCATAAACGTTAACCCTTTCTGCTGTCTCAAAAGGTGGATAATTTCCCCGATTGAAGATATGCCCAATGGAAGGAATCCCTGTAGGATCCCAATATCAAGGTGGCCCTAGTTCTGAGTTGGTTTATAACTCCATCAACTATAGTAAAATCATGGCAAATCAAACACACACTATAGGTTAAGCTGCCTAGACACTCCAAGTACTGGTGGCAGCTCCTTCTGCAGGATGCCACTGGCTCTGCGGCTGCCTCACCTGGGCAGGCTGGGACGGATGAGAATGATGATGAGGAAGGCAACCTCAAGGCTCTCCAGAAGCATAACATGATCGATGCGAGACTGCGTCGATTATGTGAACGTAAACCATCTGGAAAGATCAATGTTCCGATGGCTATCCATGACCAGTGGAAGTTGGGTGGCCAGTCCAGAGATGAGCTCCGCGTCTTGCTGGAGAAGTACGACTTCGATAAGGCTATAGTGAGACTTAACTTTGTCATTGGCTGTCTCTCTGTAATGTAGGCTGACATGATTCGCATCCATGTTTTTGGCATAGTGCTGACCATGATACGGTATCAAAAATGGTTGGGAACAATGGCGATCAATTCAGTCAATTCACCATGGGTTCCATTATTGAATCATGCTAAAATATGCTGAACCATTTCCAGGTTTACACTAAGTATCACCAAATATTTTTGATATATATATATATAATGAAGTTACCCTTTGAAACGCCGTTTCACCCTGGAATTTTAGGACTTTTACCACTTTGTGGGGTGGAATTTGGAGGCATAGGTCCTAGGTACTTATAAAATCTTATAAACCAGCTCAGCTATCATAGGTCAGCTACAAATCCTATTGATTTTTTTAATTCCATGGTTTATGTTTATATGGTTATATGATTATATCGCAGTTTGGTATGCTCACTGCGATGACGTCCCTGACTTTCGCGAGGATGTGCCCCGAATCAATTTTGCAAGTTGCCTCCAGACCAGCAGGATCGCTTGGGACATTTTCACAAAGGGTCTACTGTCTATCCAATAGGATAGACTGGTGAAACATGGAGACCGGTTAAGAGGTGGCGGTTTGTGGCGGTTCATGTTCTGCTGTTGGCATCTAGGAACGTATAAAAACGCTGTTGTGTTGTTTTTTCAATATTCTATGTCAGTATTGAAAAGGGATACAATCTAAATTTGAAAATAGGGGTGCTCCAAACTTTGAAAACATGATAAGCTATAAGGGGTATTGGGGCACCACTATTTTGAGACATATGTTCAAGGTCATTTTGAACAAATATACGGTACTGTACGGTATATCTTGGAGCGGTATACCCGTTGGTTAAATCTCCATGTTCCGATTTTGTTCAGCCACTTCTTACTACCAATTTTGCTAAGGAACTGGGGCACCATTTTCCTATAGTTTTCCCATGGTTTTCCCATGGTTTTCCAATGGTTTTCCCATGGTTTTCCTAGGTTTCCCATGGTTTTCCCATGCTTTTCAGAGGCTTCCGTTTCCACGGGATGTGCCGATGGCTTTGTGGCGATGCAGAGCCCTCCAGAGTCACCGGCTTCAACTGTTGGGTGTTTTAATGGGATTATTACCCTCTGGTAAACTAACATAGCTATTGAAAATGGCCATAGAAATAGTGAGTGTTCCCATTAATGGTGATTTTCCATAGTTTTTTTACTGGGATTATGAAATGGAAATACAATGGGAATAGTTAATGATCCATATGATCCAGTAATCGTGTTTTAATATTATGAAATATTCACAGTAATACTGTGATAAATGGCAGTGCGTCAAAACCTTGTACCCCTGTAGTTCACATCAAAATAGCTGGTAAATGGATGTTCATCCCCCTAAAAATGGTATTAATAGGTATTGATCCATACCCAAATGGAAATACAATGGGAATAGTTCATGTGTTTTAATATCATAAAATCCCATTAACATCCCACTATATAGATCATTGATGACAAAAATCCCATTAGCATCCCATTACCCTCTGGTAAACTAACATAGCTATTGAAAATGGCCATAGAAATAGTGAGTGTTCCCATTAATGGTGATTTTCCATATTTTTTTTTTACTGGGATTATGAAATGGAAATACAATGGGAATAGTTAATGATCCATATGATCCAGTAATCGTGTTTTAATATTATGAAATATTCACAGTAATACTGTGATAAATGGCAGTGTGTCAAAACCTTGTACCCCTGTAGTTCACATCAAAATAGCTGGTAAATGGATGTTCATCCCCCTAAAAATGGTATTAATAGGTATTGATCCATACCCAAATGGAAATACAATGGGAATAGTTCATGTGTTTTAATATCATAAAATCCCATTAACATCCCATTATATAGATCATTGATGACGAAAATCCCATTAGCATCCCATTACCCTCTGGTAAACTAACATAGCTATTGAAAATGGCCATAGAAATAGTGAGTTTTCCCATTTATAATGGTGATTTTCCATAGTTTTTTTTACTAGGATTATGAAATGGAAATACAATGGGAATAGTTAATGATCCATATGATCCAGTAATCGTGTTTTAATATTATGAAATATTCACAGTAATACTGTGATAAATGGCAGTGCGTCAAAACCTTGTACCCCTGTAGTTCACATCAAAATAGCTGGTAAATGGATGTTCATCCCCCTAAAAATGGTATTAATAGGTATTGATCCATACCCAAATGGAAATACAATGGGAATAGTTCATGTGTTTTAATATTATAAAATCCCATTAACATCCCATTATATAGATCATTGATGACGAAAATCCCATTAGCATCCCATTACCCTCTGGTGAACTAACATAGCTATTGAAAATGGCCATAGAAATAGTGAGTTTTCCCATTTATAATGGTGATTTTCCATAGTTTTTGGTATGTTTACCAGAGCGTAAATGGAAATACAATGGGAATAGTTAATGTGTTTAACATTATATTCCCAACATTTCTTATGGTAATAGCCTAGCAACTTATAAAGCACAGTATCTATTCCCATTGTATTTATTTACCCTCTGGTTATTTAACATAGCTATGGAAAATGGCCCATAGAAATAGATGGTTTACCTTTAATAACATGGTGATTTTCCATGGCTATGTTAAATAACCAGAGGGTAAATAAATACAATGGGAATAGCTAAAGTGTTTTATAAGTTGCTAGGCTATTACCATAATAAATGTTGGGAATATTGTGGACATAATCATGGGATTATAATGGGTATAGAATGGGATTTTTGATCACCCCCAACCAACTGGAGTCTGGGTCTAATGGTGTTCAGCCTCCAGGAGATTTCGATTTTCATGGATTACCCGTTGGACATACCCGTCGGACCAAGTCAGCCAAGTTACTTGATTTCTTTGTTTTTACACACTATCATTGGCCATACCCTCTGGTAAACTCTTACATAACTATAGAACATCACCATTTATAGTGGATTTACCCCTTAAATTTGGTGATTTTCCATAGTTATGTCAATTTACCAGAGGGTAGATTCCATGTGTGTGTGTGTGTTTTGCATAAACTGTTTCAGCCTCAGTTGTGTGAAAAAAAAACTCAGAAAACATTGAAACTTCAATATATTATTAGATACCAAAGATGAACAACATATAATTACTAAGAATATCAACGAGGAATGATAAACATAGACTTTAGACCTCCCAATTTTCCTGGATATTTTCCCTGTGACACACTTCCCTTGCGAACCCCTTGGCGTGCAAGGTTCTGTGCTGGTCCGCAGTGCCAAAACTACGATTGCTACTTGGCTGGTCCGGTGGAATCGCATCCCCTCAGTAGAATCCACTGATGGGGGTGAAGACACACATTTTGAAACCAGATGAAATGGGGGTGTTCAATATTAGGGGGGTGAGAATAACTAATCTTTACTAGGTCCTAGGTCCTAGGTAAGTCTTATCAGGTTTTGGCACACAACAAGGAGATGGAGCATGATGGCAACATATGGCAACAAAATCCAACTGGAATAGCGGGCGAATCCACACACAGATGGAATGACATACATATGGGCCGGGGGGTTCTCGGACAAACCGAGCACATATGTTCAAAAACAACACAGGTTGTAATGGTGAAATGACTATAATACAGCATGATTAGTGGTGGTATCAACCCCAGAATAACGAACCCTGGCTGCTTACTTTGGTGCCCTCATCCCCCCAAAGTGAATGATTTTGCTGGTGATTTAAATAAGTTGAATAACTTGGGACCGACCTTCAATTGGCAGATTTAATCAAATTTCATGTTGGAATTCAACAACCAAAGCTTGGACACATTTTTAAAAATGTAGATGTTAAAAAAGAAAAAAACACATGATGTTCAACAAATCTGAGATTTCAACAAGTTCATGAAACAACAAACAAATACAAAAAACACACACTCCATTCAATCTCTCATATGTTTCCCCCCAAACAAAATACATCTCAATATCATCAATCCCATTCAAAACTATGAAATGCCGCAACGAGATGCAAGGTGGTACCCCAGTTCGGAATCGCTAAGTTATAGTTTATAAGTTCAATTTCACTTGGGTTAATGGTATATACTATGGTTTATAAACTATGTATATAGTTATGGTTTATGGTTTATAAGCTCAATTTAAAACCATAGTATATAGTTATATCGAACTAGTTATATACTATGGTTTACCAACAAGCACAACTGGGGGCACCGGCCGTGGCTCTCGTATTCCGGCTCGCTCGCGAGGCTGCTTACGCACTGCAGAAGCCATGGCCACGGTGCAGAGCACGGCCACCACGTGGGATTCCATCCAGGCCATCCAAAGCTAGATGATTTGAGTCAGCGATTTCAGTGGGGATAGTGGTTATCAGATAGGAGTACCCCCCTAATAAACCATGGTTTAGTCTCATCCGGGGTTGACATTAAGCCATTTTTTGGTCCACCCATTGTCCCAAAAACATTGGTGGAGCAACCCTGCTGAGGTGACTTGGTCTGTGCCGTCGCTGAACAACTGCACCTTCCAGGAGTATCAGGCCAAACCTGGGACTCCCGGGGGCCGTGGCGGCCATGTTAAATGCCCTAGTGATGTTTGTTGGTTTATTAAATGAGGATAGTATGGGGATATGGAATTTGATATATATATATATGTGTGAAGGGCCCCCCCAGTTATGTTTGTTGCTTTATAAACCCCATGAAAACTAGTTCGTTATATCTGCCATGAACCATAGTGAAATGGGAGTTATAAACGCACCAACTTAGCGATTCCGAACTGGGGCACCGGGCACCACCTTGTAGAGTCAGAATTTAAGCCCCAGTCTGGGGACCACAGATTGGAATGGATTCATTTGATTAGATACTGGTTGGTGGTTTGGCGCATGAATTTTATATTTCCATAGTTATGGGAATGTCATCATCCCAACAGACTGACTTTCATATTTTTCAGAGGGGTTGAAACCACCAACCAGGCTATGTTGTTGGTTTTATCAAGTTATATTCCATATTCCATTATATCATATCCCCATTATATGTCACTACATCCCCAACCACCAACTGGCTAATATTTTTCAAAAGGGTAGGTCAACCACCAACCAGGATATGAAGCATCTAATTGGAATGGGGTGCTCAATGACTTGACCTATACCTTTGGGCTTTGGTTTTAATACTTTTCTTTTTGGATTTTGATGGGACTTACTGTAAAAACACCATCTATAAGATGTGGTTTAATAATGTTTAATATGTGTTCATGACATTTTTCATGGGATGTTGTTTATAAAATGCTTTACACCATCTGAGATGTGGTTTTAATTTGCTTTAATATGATGAAAACATGGGATGCGCATGTCGCATGGCTTATTTGGATGGCTACTACTATATTTAATTTTTGGTACCATATCTTGGAACCCTGATAATATTGGAAATCTTTTGGGAAGTACATAAATATGAACAAACCATGGGTCTGAGGTCCAACATGGGTCCAGTGCCAGCGGGTTACAATCCCAGTTCAATGGGGAAAGTGGGGTTAATGTCCAGTTTTAAGTGGAGTTATACTGAAACCCATTGCAGTGAACCACCAAGACCACAACTCGTTTATATATGCTCATATGATATATTTATAGTCTTTTATATCCCCTTGTTGCATCTTGTATCTGGGTATCTAATGGGCTATATAACCCACTTACGAACCGCTTAACTAATCTCATGGCACTCATGGCCCGTGGAAGTAGAGGTGTCAAGGATTTGCAGCATCATTTTGAGTCTTGCCAACGGATTGCATGTTTTAATAACCGAGACAGTTGTCATTCCCAAACTCCCTACAATCCACAGTACTCAGCATTGGTTGCTTTGATTATCAAGGAAACATATGGAATTGGATCTGTGAAATGCTGAATGTTGAAAATTGGAAACAACCACCAGTTTCTTTCCTGTCAGTGGCTTTTTCTACCATGCTTTCTCACCAGTTGCAAATGTATGGGATCTTCACAAGAAGGTAACTTGGATACAGTAGTCTTTGTACCTGAAGTTATTGCATTCTTCAGAAGTAGCTTATGACGTCTCAGTAAAGCCAAGCCTAGTCATCGACCAACCCTAAGCCACCTGGAGCAAACCTATGACCTCCTCTGTCGTGATGCCTTCGACGGAGTTCGCTCGGCCTGGTGGTCCACGCCTGATCCAGCCGGTCAGCGCGCTGGACAGGAATCGACATGGCACGGGCGTCGCAAGTAGGGTTTTGAATCACTCCAGACATACACTCTTTTGTGTCAACCATAAGCCGACCTTGGATAAGCCTTAAGCCAATCTTAAATAAACCTTAAACCAACCCCAAGCAAACCCTAAACCAACCCTAAATACACCCTAAACGATTCCCATTATCTCATATTCATATTCATTATTTAACAGATCACATCCAAAAATCATATGCAAATAGTTCCTTTCATTAGTTCCCAATCTGTTTGCCACACACAAAGAACATCAAAAAACATCATCCAATGGCATTCGGCGCCAGAGTTAGATAAACCGCCGAGACTTCGCCCCAAAGCGGCAAATGGTAACCATCATATACCGATGTTTTTTTTTTTGGGTATATTACAGGTACCCTCTGGTAAACATACAAAAAACGATGGAAAATCACATTTTTTAATGGGAAAATCCATTATATCTGGCCATTTTCAATAGCTATGTTAAATTACCAGAGGGTATATCCATAACATTTTGCAATGTGGGGTATATCCTCCAAGAAAAGATATACGTGGGTTAGTTGAAAAAAACCCTATGAGAAACTAGTTCGGAATTAAACTACATGAACTAGCATAATCCCAAACGTGAAATTGTAGTTGTGTTCACCAGCTTCGTATATACCCTCTGGTTATTTAACGTAGCTATGGAAAATCACCATGTTTAATAGGTATATCCTATATATCATCAAAAAACATGTACAAATTAATAGACCATTTTCCATGGCTATGTTAAACAACCAGAGGGTATCAGCTATAAATCCCAATCAAGCACCATGATTCATGGTTTTCCTATGGTTTTCCTACGGTGTTCCGCATGAAACTGCGGAGGTGCAGCTCCTTGCGGAGAACTCCAGCAATTCCACTTGGCAGGACCGGAACGAAAAAAAATGTGCCTTGACATCCAAATCATTTTTTTATGTTGTATATCTAATTTTATAACACCTATGTGTATATATATGTTATGTGTTTTATGTATGTATATCAATCATATATATATATATCATAATAATCTAAGTGAGTATCATATATCTATAAACATCTATCACTGTAGATCTACAATATTTGTCTATGAACAGCAACTATCATACTTTGTAAAACCATTTTCATGGAGGTATACTTCAATGTCCACCAAACAACATTTTTATATATGTTAAATAAGTTTTCTAAGTGAACTAAATTATCTAAGTCACCCTTGAACAAAACACATGTTTCAGGCGTCCAAATCATCTAAGGAGAGCGAGTAAATATTTAAAGAAAGGTGAGTTGCTCTTTGTCAGCGATGGGTGTAACATTGGGTTATGGCCATTTATTAGTTATAACTTGGTGTTTCTAGAGGATTATACATGCTATAAATGGGGTTTTGTTAGTACTTATAACTGGTAAAGGGCCAAAACTGTACCATGAGTTGTTTTGTCTTCATTTGGAAGATATGAGATGACAGGCCACATACACAATATATTTAGATAATATATGTACATACCCTCCGGTAATCAAGCATGGCAACGGAAAACCCACCACTTTAAAACCTCCATATTTGTACAATGTTGGGCCCCCTAGTTATAAGTTGGTTTATAACCCCAATCTAACTAGTTCGTTATAGCTACCATAAATCCTAGTTATTGTAGTTATTTGGCCCAACTTAGCTATCAAACGGGGCCCCCACTTTGTAGTGCATTTCCAACTGCCACCTTTGGCTACCGGGTGCTTTGCTGGACCGAGTTCCGTGCATCACGGTGCGTCCAAGTCGCAGCGCCCTTTACATGTACACGTATGTAGGTGGAAGTTATCATTGAACATGTTAACAACGTTGTTATATTTTGTTTGTAAACACATATGAAAAAAAACAGTGTATACGTAAGCTATAAACACATATGAACATCCAGTTTTTCAAAACACCGGAAGAGTTGAGAGTGGCTGGTACTACTTGGGTGCAGTCCCACTAAGAGGTGGCTTAGATAACCATAGTGATCCCCATGGTTTATAACCAGTTATGGCCATGGCTACCAGTCATAACTGGTTATTTCTATGGGATTATACATTCTATAAATGGGGTGACTTGTTAGTACTTATAACTGATAGATGACCATAACTTTAGGAACTATATCCCAACTTATGGTGGACTTACCATAGTGATCCCCTAATGTTTTTCACCCCGGCCAGGACGTGACTAGCTGTGAATTGAAAGACTCCTGTGGTTCCAGTTGTTTAGCTTGGGACCCAGATGGGAGGGCACGTTGTACAATGCTATGCCCCAGTTCGTTAGCTAAGTTGGGCCAAATAACTACAATAACTATAGGGTTTATGGTAGTTATAACTATAGTTAGATGGAGTTATAAACCAACTTATAACCAGCGGGCCCCACATTGTAGGATTGTTGGTTTTCTGTTTCTCTTTCACTGAGCCTGATGATTTTGTTTATTCAACTCCACGCAGTTTACTGCTTGGACAGTGGGTTGACATGTCAACGTAGGTGCACACATCAAAATAATTACATCAAACATATTCTAAAACACTATATTTCGAGTATAGAGTTGATGCAATTTCATAATCATGAACATACATATGAATATTATCACGGATATGAATGAACTGAAATCAGCCATTTCAGATGAACGTGTTCTACGTAGTCAATCACTATCTTCAACACAATCCAACATGACAATGGAACATGTTCGTTTAAAAAAAAACATGTTGGATAAAAATGTTGGATAAAAATGTTGGTCAGGTCATGTTGGATATGTTCGTAAAAACACATATGTTTTTTCCAGTAAATCCAGGAGTTTTACCATCCCCATGTTTCTGAAACAAAATCCGGCATCTTTGGGTTGGCGTTCCACGTGAAATCTGCCGGGAAAAGCGAGAAAGAAACCTTGACTGTACGCAAGGCCGTTAAATAGATAGAAAAGTAGGAAACTGGTTTGGAATAGATAGAAAAGTAGGAATAGATAGGTTAAATAGTAGAAAAGTAGGTTTGGAAACTTATGATTAATAGATAATTAAGTGATGATTAATAGATGGTATACCCACATGATTAACAGTAATATTCTGCTTGGTGGTTTGGAACCATGGAATTTGGATTGACTTTCCATCTATTG